AGAAAGAACTCTTAGTGGCCAGATGCTGAGGGAGTAAGATAAGGTGCAAGGACTGACCATTGGCTTGGCAACCTGGAGGCCACTGACTGGGCTGGAGTGAAGGAGACATAGAGACAAGCATAGACAGATATTAGAAGACTGTGACTTTTGTAAATGGAATGAAAATATCAAGAGAGAATTTAAAAAGGAAAGAGATGAAAATATTGCAGCGTATTTGCAGAGAGGGACACTGTGAGGCAGGAGAGAGCTCTGCCAGCTGTGGAGCACAGTCTGGAGTAAGTGAGAGGGAAGGGCTCTGGTGTCTGAGGGAGCTGTGTGCCAGGGGCAGGGGTACTTTCATCCATGCCAGAGGGGAGAAGGCAGATGTGCTAGGAAGGTGGCGGATGTGGTGATGGGGGTGCTGAGCTGGCCCTGGCTTATTGCTTCTTTTGCCAGGGGCACTTGGTGCCTGGTTTTCAGCTGAAATGGATGATTGGGAGAATGTGGACTGGAGGTTTGAGGAAGAAGGCGAAGGTGTGACATGGTCATCTTGGAGAATCTGGTGAAAGTCAAATAAAATGTAAAATTTCTTAGAGATGCTGAGTGCCCAGTTGAACTTTGTGGTCAGAAGTTTAAACCGAATATGTCAGTACTGTTCTTTAGATACTCAGGGCTGGGGATTTAGCTCTGTGGTACCGTGCCTGCCTCGCAAGCAAAAGGTCCTGAGTTTGATCTTCGATACACACAAAGAAAATTAGATACTCAGGAACAGTTATCACATGGACAGGGTCCTGCCAGCTGAGTTCTGGAAAGGCACACAAAGGCGAGGGAGTGGGACATGTTCAACAGGTGATGATTATCTGGGGACCTGTGGGGCCTGAGGTGCAAAAGAGAGATGGAGACCAAGAAATTGGCAGTGGGGAGTGAAATAGTGGTGGGTCAGTGGGTTGGACAGAGGGTTGCTGGAGCAGGAAGTAGGATGAGTGAGCTGTATTGACAGGCAATAGCACGCCTCTTGGCATAGACAAGGTCTAGGTGGAACAGTGCATGTGGGAGGGTTTGATGGGTGGAAAAAAAAACTTGTTGGAAGCCAGGAAGTCAGGAAATTGAGAGACCAGGGTGTAGGTGTGATAATAAGTGTAGGAGTATAGAGAAAGACAATGAGCCAACGGCTAAGATGAAGGAGATGGAATTACCAGGATATCTTGTTTATATCTCAAATTCCCTAAGTCTGAAACTGAAGTCATTGTTTTCCCTCAAAACTACTTCTCCACTGAGGCTCCTGTCCCATACCTGGAGCCAGAAACCTGGGTGTTGGGTGTTACTTTTTTTTTTTTTTGAGGCAGGGTCTCACTACATAGTTGAGACTGACCTGAAACTCACCATGTAGCCCAGGCTGGTCTTGAACTCACAGCGATCCTCCTGCCTCAGCCTCCCAAGTGCTGGGATTACAGGTGTGTGCCAACATGCCCGGCTTCTGGATGTTACTTTGATTCCTCCCTGTACTTGATCTGCAAACTGAGTCAAATCACCAAACCTTTCTGATTCTACAATGTACCCATTTCTTAAATCCAGCAACTTCTTTCCATTGCCATTGCACATGCCCTGCCTAGTTCAGGCGATTATTGTTTCTGTTCAGGTTATTGCATCAGATTCCAAACAGGTAGCACTGCCCTGGTTCCTCTACACTGCACCAGGGATCTGCTACATCTCTCCAGGGCCTTGTCGTTGTCTTTAGGATAAAGCTCAACATCACTGATTTACAAAGAAAGCACTGCCCGCTTCAGCCTGACTCCTAACCACTGGCCCCAACTCAACCATCTTGAGTTTTTTCAGTCTTTGGCATTAGACTTGCTCTTCCTTTGCGTATGCTGTCCCTTTGCCTGGAATCCTACCCTGTTCACTTGGCAAACTGTCCTGTTTCTTCAGGTAACAGTGTAAGAAGTCACAAGGAGCCCTCTCCTAGATGCCAGATCCTCCTTCCTTTCTCTCCTAGCACCCCGGACCTCTCTAGTAGGTCACAAATGTGGTAGTTGTCTTCTTCCCTAGACTGGATGCTCCCTGAGATCAGAGACTGTGACTTGTCTGATTATTCCCAGGATTCAACAAGGAGCTTTCACATAAAAGTAAGCAGTCAGTATTTGTTGGGCTGAATCCAATGGAAGGCTCTAGAGGTGGAGCAGTTGTGGGTGATGACAAGATCCAGGGAGTGTTCGATAGGACCATTGCAGTGGAAGAGAAGATAATGGAATGGAAAGGATAGGGCGAAACTCAGGTAGACCTCATCACCTTCTAGGCCCTTGGAAAGCAACAGAAGACCTTTGACCATGGGCTCAGTCTTGAAAGAAGGAGAAGTTGCTGGCGGCAATGGGAGCAAGAAAGAAGGTGGAAGGGGAAGATGCCAGAGGCAGGAACAAGTGGGGATTTTTCGGGAAAGGGAAGGTGTAGGGGTCTTAGTGGTTGTGAGAGTTGTGGGGAGCTTAAGAGTGTGGGGGACTGAGGATGAGGTAGTCCAATGGCTGAAGTGCTGCCTATAGTTTTAGTCTCAGCCCCCTCTAGAGGGCTCAGGCTGGTCTGATGGCTCAGGTCTGATGAGCTAGCTCATGCCTCAGGACTCCAGACCTCTGGGAAGGGTAATCATGGGGAGGACATCAGGGGGGTGGCCAGGTCCTGAGATGAACTCAATATATGCTGGACCCAGCAGCAGCCCCTGGAATGGGCTTCTAGACACTCAGGAGGAATTGGTCACGGCTGATTCCCTGGCCCAGACTTGGGAGCTACCTTTGTCTGAGCAGTGCAGGGCCAGCTGATTCAGTTCAGAGTGCTACCCTGGGCTTGGTGGTCACAGCTCGGGTCTGGGGAAATGGGAGCCACCCTTGTCTCCTGGGGTCAGGAGTTTAGTAGGTAGTATTGGTGTCCTACCCTCATCCCCTTTACTAGGGACATGCATTCCCTAGTTGCTGTGAATATTAGCTGCTCATGGATTATAGCTGACCCTGGAGAAATGAAGCCTTCCTGCCGTCCCTCCTGCCATTGGGTTGGTTTGACCCACTGGACTGACTGATAGGGGAGGTCAGGAGCTTCGTGCCCTGGCCTCTAGAGGTGGGACAGCTCTGGTGGGATTCATGATCCACATCCCCACCACTCCCATGAATCAGGTCAAGCTACAATTCCCTGAGTGCACAGCTAGTCCAGCTCAGCCCCTCCCTGTCCTGCTTCTGCTCTTTCCTTCATATGTGCAAAATCCCTGCCCCTGGCTCAACTTCTGAGAAACCTGGGTGACTCTGGTCTTGTCCCACACCTAAGAGTAGACATGGAGCCTATCCAGTGGCCCTGGAGGGCCCCTTTCCTTTTCTATGTGCAAGATCTCTAACTCGTACCGGAGAGCTTTAGGCTGAAGTTAACAACACCAACACTGCACTACACCACTCCAATACAAAACAAAACAAGAGACAAACAGATGAACAAAAAAAAACCTCCCAATTTGCTGACCTCCTGGCTAGGCTAAGTACGGGGGAGACTTAGATAAACAAGCCTCAGTCCTTCCCCAAGCAGCTCCCAGCCCATTTACTCACTTCACAAACATTTATTGGAAGCCTACAGGACCTGGTGACTCAGCATCCTGACCTTGAAGGGCTCACAGGCTAAGGGGGAGACACTCGGAGGAACCAGCCACTCCAGTGTGGGGAGAGTGGTGGAAGAGAGGCACAAACTAGGCTGGGATATGGGGGGAAGTGAAGGTTTTCCTTGGGGTTTGAGGACAGGACACAGGGGAGGTGGGTGGGCCGTTGCATTCAGAGAGGGAACAGCATGACAAAGGCATGAGGCATGTCAGAGCATGAGGCATGTCTGCCTGGGGAATTGCCAGCCCTGTGGAGTTATTGATGAGTAAAAAGGAAGGAGGAAGCAGGGATGAGGTTGGGAGGCCAGGGAGGTGGTAGAATTTTTATAGCAGGAGGAGTTATGTGGTTAGATTCAGGAACAGACTCATCAATTCATCCTGCAGCAGAGGGGCATCAGAGAGGCCTAGTGAGAGGAGGGAAGGAAGGCTGTGGGGTGGGCAAGAGGGGACTCGGGAGGCATGTAGAGGTTGCAGTCAGGGGCACGGGTGCAGGGTTGGGACCAGTGTGAGGGGAGGGGCTGAGGACGGCAGGGAAGCCTGGAGCAGTCTGGGAGATGGCAACGCCCACATGGGCTGGGGAGTGTGTTTGAGGTCACAAGGCTTAGGGTAATGCCATGGTGTCAGTTTGGATTTGCTGAGTGAGATGGCCAGAGAGAGGCGGGCCCAGCCTGGAGGTATCATCAAGTCCTGGATGGTGGTAGGGGTGGGGGTGGGGGGAGGATGAAGTCACCCAGGAATATATATTGGCAAAAAAAAAAAAAAGGGAAATTCACAGATGTGAGGGCCCACGACATGTCTCCTAGAAGCCCATCTGGACTTGCTCTCAGTGCCACCCCGTCCCACCATCAGAGGGACTCCCCTCCCTAAGGTCTGTGCTGGGCACAGTCAGGAAGGCACCTGGCAGGCACTTCCTGAGACATGGGACCTGCTGGGCAGTATCCTGGTGTCTCCTCCTCCTCCCTTGGCTTGCAGAGCTGTGAGGCGCTGGGTGCACCCCCATCTCTGGACATTTCCCTCTGTGTCCTGGGGTGTATATGTGCATGGGGGTGGTAGGTAGGTCTGGGTTTTGGGGCTCAGGTGCCCAAAGAATAGTCTTGGCTTCCTTCTTGAGGTCCATCTGAACCACTTGCTTCCCTTCTCAGCACTGCCCACCTGGTCTACAAAGTCCTGGGAAAATCATGTTTATTGGAGTTTTGTGTACCCTGTTGCCACATACAAAATCATTAAGTCTCCTGAGACTCAGGACCCAGGAGCTGACCTGTGCCCCTCCCGCTGCACACTGGCTTCAGGGCGGGGCTTCCTGAGGCTCCATCGACACTCTCCCCACCTGCCACTACCCTTGCCTGTTTTTCTCAGAGAACAGACAGGGACCTGGGGACCCTACCTGCCGCTTTGCAGGTTATGGATACCCACTTTCGTCCATGAGGGCCGACCCAGCCTTCGTTAGGACAGAGTTCCCATCCTGGGGGTGCCTTTCCTGGGAGATCACATAGGGTGGGCACGTGTCAGGCAGGTGATGCCGGTGCCGAGACTTCCGGCCTCTGGGACCCAGGATCTCCATGCACCTCTTGCCCACTAGGTAGGTGACCTCACTGAGGTTGAGCAGAATGCAGATGGCAGCTGTGCCCACCATGAAGTAGGTGAAGATCTTCTTCTCTGTGGGCCTGGAGATGTAACAGTCCACAATATGGGGACAAGGGTCTACACTGCAGGCCACCACGCGTGGCATGTTGTAATTCTCATAGAGGCGATGAAAGATGTAGAGGAAGGCCGAGTCCACGGCAGCCTTGAAGATTAGGCTCAGCAAGTATGTCCACCAGAGCCCGCCCCGCTTCTTATTCAGGTTGTTGTACAGGGATGGGGCATTGGGTCCGTGTTTCTCGCGGTGCCTCCGCTCCCGCTCCTCGCGATAGGCCACGTGCATGACCACGAGCAGCGAGGGGCACGTGACCAGGATGAGCTGCAGGGCCCAGAGGCGCACGTGGGACACAGGGAAGAAGTGGTCGTAGCAGACATTGGGGCAGCCTGGCTGGCGGGTGTTGCAGACGAAGTCCTTCTGCTCGTCGTCCCACACGTCCTCGGCAGCCACCACGTACACCAGCACGCGGAAGATGAACACCACCGACAGCCAGATGCGGCCCAGCGCTGTGGAGTACTTGTTCACCCCACTCAGGAGGCCCTGCAGAAATGTCCAGTTCATGCTGGCTGTGTCCTCGGCCTCTCGCGGAGATGCGTCTACCCGAGTGCCACCCACTCAGGCCTTGGGAGCCTGGAGGCCTGGAAGAACCTGGAAATGGGCGCCCTTAATGATGGTGTGGTTGATAAAATCGTTTTACAACCCCTGGGTCATTATATCCTCACTTGTAATGACCTGCACAGGGAGGGATTGCCATCATTTCCATTTCACAGGAAAATAAGCTAAGGCCCAGGGCCGTCCGCCCAAGGCCCCACAGCTAGAAGCAGCAGAGCTGGTCTTGAACCTTGGTCTTCAGGTTCCAAAATCAGGGTCTACTTTATTCTAGAAAGTAATAAATACAAGTGAAGATCTCATGCTGCACGGCCCTACCAGCCAGTGTCTTTACCATATGTTTCAGCCTAAAGAGACTGGACGATCCCATCAGCTCTCCCGACGGCTACCAAACCCATCAAACTTTCACTGAATGCCACAGGAGCCAGACCTTGGGCTTGGCACATTCACATCAGCCCTGGTAGGTCCTAGAACAGTCTCCATCCCTCTTCTCTGGCTCCAGGAGGCTTCCCAGATATTCCCTTCCCAACTAAACAGTGGCACTTTGGAATCATGGTGGCTTGGCATGGTCCTGGCTGTGCCGCTGAGCTGGAGCTGGGGCTGAAAGGCTGACCAGTGGCTCCTCTGGAATTCCAACTATACTATCTTCGGGAGGGCCAGGGTAAGGGACAGAGACTAGATTCTGGCATGGTCAGTGCCTCACCTTTGCCTTTCTGTCTCAGGGACACCTCCTTCCCTGTTTGCTTAGTGGCTGTGTGCTAGCCATGTTTCCCATTATTTTCATTCAGGTCTCTGTCCTACACCCTCACCCCCACAGTCCCTTATTAGGAGTCCCTGTCTTTTCTGTCCCAAGCCTTCCCCCCTTATCCCTGACTCAGCTCCCAGCCTCTTCAGACACTGTACCCCCCCAGGACACAAGCTGAGCACTCTGTCTTCCTGTTTTCCTTGCCAGACTGCCAGCCGCTGGGGGCTTACTCTACACCTCATCTTATCTGTTTCCCCAGGACCCAGCTCTGGGCCTGGCCCGGGGAACACTCAGCAGATCCTGAACTCTATCTCCCTCACTGTCTGGCAGGACATTCTCTCCCTTCCTTGGGGCTCCCTGAGGCTCCCTAAGCCCCTGTCCCTTCTGCCCTCCCTCCCTGAAGCCTGCCCCACAGCCTGAGATCCCTTGGATATTTCAGCCCTGCGGGTCCCTTCTTCCCAGCCCTTTCTCCGGTCCTGTTTGGTCCTCACCTCTCCCTTCTCGTGGATCCAGTTCACTCTCCTGTCCCTGGGCTGTCTGCCTGCCCGAGGGCCTCCTGGAGGTAGCTTTTGTTCTTTCTCCCTGGTAGGGTGGGACTTTCTGAGCCAATGAGCCAAGCAAGAGTGGTAGGGTTCGTGGGCAGGGCAGGCTGGGCGGGCGGACTTCCCCAGGGAAATATTCAGAGCAAACACCTGCAGCTCTTCTCTGCTGGCCCACGCTTCCTCTCTGGCTTGGCTTGGCTGGCAGGTATGTGGGTGAGAACTCAGAGAGGTGGGCCAAAGTGTGGTGTCCTGTGTCTAGGCCAGGACAGCACTGGCGGCATTGACCCCTTTCCTGATGCTTCACTGCCTTGCCCTGTTGTCCCTAGGCTGTTTTTCTGCCCTTTCCCCCGGAAGCCTGTTTCTGGGGTCCTGAGCAACTGATATCTATGGAAAGTAACAAACTTGATTTAGTCCAGGACAGTGTCCTACCCCAGTGGGGATATTTCTGCCCACTAGAGCTTGGGCTGCTCTTAGGTTGAATATGGGACGAGAGGGGCTGACTACAGCTTGTCTGGACCAGGCACCTGCTGCCCTGCTGGAGACAAGGAATGCGAGTTGGCAGTGTGGAAGCTTCAGCTGGCATGGGCCCAGGCATAGTGTTGCTCTCCCTCCTCGTGGGCCTAGGCCTCTGTGCTTCTGGAGGCTTCCAGGAAAGCTGAGGGTGACCCAGCAAGGGCTACAAGAGGGGTCTGGGCCTGTGTTTGGCTGAGATGGCAAAGGTTAATGTGCAGCCAGGGAGCAGCTCTTTTGCCTCACTTCGTAGTAGCAGTGATTAGCATTTATGTGATCTTTTACAGCTGGCTAATCCTATTCACAGCCATGAGCTCATCATTCCTCACAGTGGCCCCACAGGTTAGGCATTTCTAATGCATTTGGAGAGAAGAGGGAGTTACTTTTCCAGAGTTCAGGGGTGCTTGGGTTTGAATGCAGCCATGCTGACTCCAGGCCATGTACTTCCTGTGTAGCATGCTCCATTCCTTTTGGAGCCATCCCGTATGCCTAAGCTTGCACGAGGGGCTAAGGCCTAGCCTTGAGCATGAGCAAGTGGCATGGTCTCCTGGGGTGCTGGGGCACCCCTGTTGGAGGAGGGCGCCTCATCTGGCTTAATCAAGTGTGGTCTTTTGCAAGGGCAGAGAGATGCACACACAGTGACAGAATGGGGAATCACAAATGGCAAAGGGCACCTGGAGTCAGTGAATGCATTGACCTTTATTAAGCCCTGATGGTGGGCCTCACTTCAAAGGTGGTTGCCCATTTGTTCTCTGAATAAACTGCTCCTTACCACCACCCCGTTTTGTCAATTAGCTTGGGCTCCGTGTCTGGAGTCTCTAATTTACAGGTAGATTCAGATCCGGACTTCAAACAATACAAGAGTGACTTACATTCTTAGGCCCGGGCAGAAACAAAGGTCGGGGCTGTGGCTACAATGGGAGGGGTTCAGGACACTGTCTCCTAGGCCCTTTGCCATTTAGCAAGGGCTTGTAATTTAGGTCCCACACTGGGGCCAGGAGTTGGGAGTTGAGAAATAGGAACCGGACCCCATGCCGTCTAAACCCTCCCTTTAGCCTGCCTCCAACTCACTCCATAGCTCCTCCACCCCCAGGACTGCACCTGTGAGAGAAGCCAGAGCCTCCCAGGCCAGGCCCACCCGACGGGTCCAGCCAGGCAGCCCCTCACACGACAGTTTTCTTCACATAGTCCCGGGGGCAGTCTGGCTCGAGAGGCGGGTGAGTGTCAGAGCCCAGAGAGATGAGGTCCCCTGAGAGGAGGTCGTTCTGTTTGCAGGAAGCAGTGACAGAGTTTGGGTAATGCCCTGTGGTTGTGGCCTGGGCTCTCCTTGCTGCCAGGCACTCCCGACACCGCTTGCTCACTAGGTAGGATAGCTCCACGAGGTTGAGCAGGATGCAGACGGCGGCTGTGACCACCATGAACAGAGTGAAGATGTTCTTTTCCGAGGGCTTGGAGATGAAGCAGTCCACTGTGTTGGGACAGGGAGCCAAGTGGCACTTGACCACAGGAGGGAGGGTGTACTTGGGGTAGAAGGAGTGGAACACATAGAGGAAGGTGACATCTATGCCGGCCTTAAAGACTAGGCTGCAGACGTACGTCCACCAGAGCCCGCCCCGCTTCTTGCCAGGGTCTGGGTAGAGGCGCCCACCACCCTCCCCAGCCATCTCTCGATGCTTCTTCTCCTGAGCTTTGCGGTAGGCCACGTGCATGACCACGAGCAGCGAGGGGCACGTGACCAGGATGAGCTGCAGGGCCCAGAGGCGCACGTGGGACACGGGGAAGAACTGGTCAAAGCAGACATTGGAGCAGCCGGGCTGGCGGGTGTTACAGTCAAAATCCTTGTGGTCGTCACTCCACACACGCTCAGCTGTCACCAAGTACACCAGCACGCGGAAGATGAAAACCAAAGACAGCCAGATGCGCCCAAAGGCAGTGGAGTACTTGTTGACCCCATTCAGGAGCGCCTCGAAGACCCCCCAGTTCATGATGCACCCACGTGTCGGCTGCCACTGCAGGGGAAGAAGAGAAATAATTTCCCCGTGTTGAAAGAAAGCTCGTTTGGAGCCCTTCCTAGAAATAGGCCATCATATTTAATCCTCACAACCACCTGGGGAACTGGGTTTATTAGTGTCCCCATTTCACAGGTGAGGAAAACCGAGATTTAGAGGCAGAATATGAGCTTATACCACTATTAGGTGCAGAGCTGGGATTTGAACACACGGTGATGAAGTCCCAACTCTACTCATAAAAGTGGGTGAAAGAGCTTTGTGCAGTCCAGTATCGTAGCCGATAAGGTTTATCTGAGGCATGATTATTGCTAATTATGATGATGAAGGGTTAGGGTTAGGTCTAGGGAGCCACCCATTCCTCACAGGAGTGCTGCAGAGAAGACTGGGGGCGTCACACCCCTGACCCATTCTGTTCAGCTGTAGGGCCTGAGCTTTGGGGCGACTTCTCCCCTCTCTAAGCACCACTCTGCCCTCAGACAGCCCCTCCTGAGGAAAGCACGCTCTCTATCCTTTGCTGGCTCGGGAGATGGGACTGTCGCGGAGGTGGGACTTTGTCTCGAGCCTCTGCCAGGGCTAACACTCTGTAAATACCTAGTCAGGGTCCTGCTCGGGTGGGAGTCCCCCGAATCAAGGTCAGTGGCCGTCCAGTGGGGCTGTGACAAGGATTCTGTGTTCAGGAGAAGTTGGCAAACACAAATAGGTACCACTATCCAGCCAAGCTACTACATTCATTCTGTGGCTCTCCAAAAAAGGAACCAGGTAGGATGGCCTGAACTCTTGACCACAGAACCCCTGTAGTGCTTTGATCATCTTGCAAAGCAGCCTTGTCCAGACACGGTGTGGGAAGTGCTGCTCTGGTCAGTTCTGACGGTGCACTTGGCTGGAGGAGCACAAGCCAGCAGATTCAGTTCCATTCAGGGAGGGTGTCCGCTTCCTTACTGGGGACCCCCACCTTAAGTCCTGTGTTCACTGAGACTCAGGCACCACAGTCTTACTTGCTGTGCACTCGGGGACCCCAGGGAGCCTGTGCTCTAAGGGATCAAGATGCCCTCCTTGCACCGCTCCAGGTGGAAGGTCACAGTCCTCCTGACCCCTCACCCTGTGTGCTTTTACTACTGAAAAGCAGGGCGGTGGGGGCGGCCAGCATGGATTGGGTGTTTACGTCCTGGTAGAAGCTGTTCTAAGCATGGCGCCGGATTCAATACACTGTCCCTTCACAGCAACCTTACAAGGGGTAGATTTTTAATTCCCTGTTTACGGATGAGGAAAATAAAGCATAGAGAGATTAATCAACTGCTTGCTGTTCCCCAGCTAGTAAGCAGCAGAGGGCCCACCCTCTAGGAACTGCCCAGTCTTGGGTGGAGCCTCTTTTCTCAAGTTTCGCAGAAGTGCTCTCTTCTCCCGGTGAATCCCAGTGCGGGAGGCTGGGATGTCTCCCATCCCCACCCAGACTCTCTCCACCACCCCCTAGTTGGCCTCAGGCCTCTCTCTGAGTCATCAGCTGCTCTGCTCAGTCTTGTTTCAGGTGGGTGGGTCTGGCAGCCTCTCTGGAGCACTGCGGAGGCCTAGCCCTTAGCCCCAGGGGCTCTCAACCAGCTAGCCCTGCCTTCGGTTTGGGGCAGGGAGGGAAGGACCTCGCCGCCCATAGATGAGGCTTGGCCTGCTTGTGGGCTCTGGCTCTCAGCCCCAGTCCCACACAATTCCTCACTCCCACCTATCCTTGCTGGGGAGAGCAGGAAGAGTCAGAGGGGAGAGAGGGGCTCCTCATTCCTCCACCAGCAGGACCCCAGGGGCATCCAGGCCACCTCTTTCCACTCATCACCAGAGAAATCTCCCCTGCCAGATGTGCAAGGGGCAGGGCACATCTGGACACAGATGCTTTTACCTGCACCGCTGCTTCTCAGGGCTGTCCTGGAATCCGCTTGTGGCAGCTGGCTGTGGAATTCAGCAAGCCGCCGGAAGTCATGTCAGGAGCAGGGAAGGTGTCCGGGGAAGCACGTTCCTGGGCCCGGGCCTGCAGAGCGCCTGGGTGTGTGGGGCAGGGCAGGGGAGGAGGAGGAGGAGGAGCTGCGGCCTGCACTGCCATTGGCTGAGCCCCAGCCTCCTTAGACTGCCTCCCCTGAGGCTCGGGGAAACCCAAAGACTCACTCTTCTCAGCCTGCTGACTTCAGAATCCCGGAATTCTCCTGTAGAAGCACAAGTCTGCTTTGCGCTCCTGCTTATTTTCCCACCCCTGGGCTTGTATGGGAGGAACGGATTTCTGTCTCTCTGCCATCTCTTTGTTTTCCCCTGGCTTCTGTGGGCTGCTTTTTGGGTTCTTGTCACTCTCTGGTTGCTCCTGAGTGGCTCTCCATTCTCATGGCAACAGCTGCCTTTGAAGCTCTATACCTTCCAATTGTTCTCTGGCCCAGAGGCATTTTTCTCTCCAGTTGCCCCACCAGAATGCCCTTCTCCTGCCTGCCCCCTCACCTGCCATGTCCTCTGAAATTTGGTGGAGTAGCTAAGCATCTTTTTTTTTTTTTTTGTAGCTAGCATCTTGACTCCACACCCCTACATCCGGACTTCACACCCTTCACCTGGGTCCCACACCTCTGCAACTGGATCCAACTCCTGAATCAGGGCCTCTTATCACTGCTTCTGGGCCCCACATGTTGTATTTGGGTCAAACAGCCCTACATTTGGACCCCACACCCCTGCATCTGGACTCTAAACCCCTGAATCTGGAGTCCACAATTTTGTACCTGGAGTCTACAACCCCACCCGCGTACCCCACAATATGGGCCCCTCACCTCTGCCTCTGGGTCCCTTGTCGCTGCACTTGGGCCTTATACCCTTGCATCTGGAGTTCCGCGTCCCCGCATCTGGAGCCCACACCTCTATAGTGGGGCCCCTTACCCCTGCATCTGGAATCTCACAGCCTGCATTTGAATCTCACCCTTTCCAGATCTTGACCGAGCCTTACCTGCTCCTTGTAGCCTGCTCCATGAGAGGGGTCATGAGAAGATGGTCAGTAAACAGTGACCATTGCTCCCAGTAGAAATAGAAGGCCAGATTGCTGTGAGCCTCTGGTTATATTTTCAACTGAACAACAAACGCATCACCTCGTTTCGTGTGTGCTTCTGTTTTAAGACAACTTATTGAATGCAGAGCAGTGCTTTGGTAATGCTGAACTCATGGCCATTTCCGCTATAGCTCATTCCAGAATGAGACTCATCCGCCACACGCGTGCTCCCTGAGGCACGTAGAGCCTGGACAGCTTGTCAGCATGTGTGCTTGGCGCTGTTGCAAACAGTAAAGCCACCAAGAAAAAGCACAGCAGTGAGAAAAATAGACCCTCATGAGACGTGTGTTTGCAGAACGGGAGCTGGAGGAAGAGGGCAGAGGACCACCTTGTGTGGCCTCAGCTAGGAATGTCCCCAGCGGGTACATTGTGTGCCTCAAATTTCTCACCACTTTGGGTGTACAGTTCATGGCCCTGGATGCCTCAAGGATGGATTTGGGGCCTGCAAATGAAGTTTAGCCAGTAGAAAATTCCCAGCACAGACTCTGTGAAAGGGGAGGAGCTACCCAGGTGTGTAACTTGCCTCCTGTTGGAGGGGCTGGTAGAGGGGTGGTGAGACCAAGGATGTTATGGTCACCATTTAGGCCAGAGATGAGAAGAGGGTTGGAGGAGGGAAATTCGTAGTAAGTAAGCACATCTGGAGGATTGGGAGCAGCTGTACGTGACCGGGCAGGGGACGTCCACTGTAGGGGGAGAGGCAGGCTCTTGGGGAGAACACGGGGAAGAGCTGTGTGGGTTTGTCATGGGTGCTGGTTGGTAGGGCTAGTGAGCGCCGTGTTGCTGGAGCTCAGAGGGAGTTTTGCAGACATCTGGCCACAGATAGTCCTCAGCCCCACGGGGGTGGCAGGAGCTGCAGGCCTGGAGGAGGACTGGGGCCATGCGGAGCTCCTGGGGGGCACTGGCATTTTAGGAAGTAGGCAGAGACAGAGATGCCTGTGGAGGAGAAAGAATGTTTCAAGGTGGAGAAACTTGGGTGCTGGGAGGGGAGAAGATGATGAAAGGCGGTCCAGGAAACCTGGCCCTGGAGACTTTCATTTCAGTAGAGAGAGAGGAGAGAAGCCAGAGGGTGCACGCAGGAAAAGTGTTCCTTTTCTGGAAGGGAGAGGCAGGGCCTCAGGAAGAGAAGATTTGCTTCTTTGTGGGGAACCAGAGGGGATGCATGGCAAAGGTACCTGCAGCAGCCCTCACACCCTCCTCTGCTCCCTCCCTGTGCTGCTGTTTCCAGTCTCTCTGGTCTCTGCTGGGCTCTCCAGGTTTCCTCAGCCCTCAGCCCGGCTTTCTCACCAGCTTTGATGTGTAGTTCTGCTCAGACTGACCTCCTCCCCAGCCCCACCCAGGAGGCGGTCCCAGCTCCTTGCCTATCAGCTCTACTGGCGCAGCCTGTGCTCTGGTTAACACACGTGGGTGGATGGGAGCAGAACATGTCCTGGAGCCCAGCGCTCCCTGCTGAATGCAGCAGGCTGAGGGAAGTCTAGCTGCCCTGGCCTGGTCTTCCGACAGCTGCCTATTAAAATGCCTGTTCCCTAAGGAGAGTCAATCTTTGCTCCTAGGGGGACGAGACAGCAGGCCTAGGCACCAGGATGCCAAGGGGGCACCTGTACGAAAGGCTGAAAAACAGAGAAAGGAGGAATAATAATAATAATAATGTCTGCTCATTAGGTTTAGTACCTCTTGGGCCAGAAACCAGGAGAAATGCTCTACTTGTATCTTACATGTGATGACTTGCTGCTCTTTGTACCCCTCCATTCTGCTCTCTGTACACTGTAGAGCTGTCTCTAAATTATACCTAAAAAAATCTTTCAGTGGCTCTGCAACGCTCTTGAAAAAAAATCCCATTTTGCTAATGTGGCCTGAAGGGTCCTGCACAGGTTGACCTCTGCCGCCGTCTTTACCTTCAGCTTCTTCCTCAATCTTTGCGTTCCAGCCACACTGGACTTCTTTTGCTTTCTTGACCACCAGACTTTTTCCCACCTCAGGGCCTTTGCACATGTCTTAATGTTCTTTTATTTTCTTTCTCTGAGCTAGCATTGACTTAAGCTCCAAATCCTAATTTAAATGTTACTCATGAGACAAGCCATCCCTGCCTCTGTGTTGTAGAATCTCTTAGCACAGTGCTCCCTTTGTGACAGTTGCATGTGTAGAGTATTTTGTTTTTTGTTTGGTGTTTTTTTGAGAAAGGCTCTCACTGTGTAGTTGAGGCTGGTCTTGAACTCACTATGTAGCCCAGGCTGGCCTCAAACGCATGGCTATCCTTCTGCCTCAGCCTCCCGAATGATGGTGTGTGCCACAACACCTGGCTTACACTATGATCTTGAAGAACCGGAATGACACACTCTACCTGTACCACCAGGCACACAGGAGTGTGAGCAGTGCAGTCCTCCAGCCCTGGAAAGACCTGGAGGGTGCAGGTTGCTGCAGATTCATCCCTACCCTCGGTGGCCTCCATGCTAGGGCCCAGTGGGGAAGACTCAGCCACTTGGGGTCTAGGGAGAGCTATGTGACACACAGAATCCACTCACACCTGGGTTCAAGTCCCATTTCTATTCCCTGCTAGTGCGGTCCTGGCCAAATTATCTTCCTCCTTGAGCCCTGACTTCCTTTCTGAGTGCATTGTGGGGAGGGGGCCCTTGTGAGGTGCACTGGGCCGGACCATGTAGTGCACGGTGATTGTAGTGGGCTCCCCCCATACTCTTGTCTTTTTTTCTCGGGGGCCACTGCTTCTCATTTGCAGAGTGCCATCTTGTTTTCCCCCTCCAGGGCCTCCAACTGGGGACTAAAGGCCTTTTATCTCCTCTGTGACCTGCTGCTCTTCCTGCTATTTCAGAGGCTTAGTGTGGGCCAGGTCATGGCAGCAGTGATACTCACTGTCCCTGAGACTGAACCTGATGCTGTCAGGGCTCCTCTTCCCTGCAGCTGGGCCCACATTGAGACTGAATCCAGGGTCCCATCACCGGTGCCCTCATGAGCTCAGGAGCTGTTCCTGAACCTTTGGCCACCAACTACCAAGCTGCCAGAGCTAGGAGCCTCCTTTGGGGCTCTGGTCTGAATGTTCAGAACCTGTGCTCAGTCACAGACCACATGGCTTGCTGGAAACAATCAGGCTGAGCTGCCTTAAGTACAGCTTCATGGAGTGGCCAGCAGCTGCCCCTCACCTGCCTGGCTGCTGCATTTCAGGAGCTGACAACCCTCCTGTAAAGCATGCTGGCTTGTAGCAAGCAGGCTCAGTGTCCAGTTGCCACCACCTGCCACATTGCCTGGGGCTCTGTGGGCTCTTGACGCCTCTCTGCCTGAATACAGGGTAGGCTGGATGTGCCAGCAAATTCATGCCCTTGACCAATGAGTGATGGAAGTTAGGGGATGAATTCTCCAGCCTCCTCACCCTTTGGCTGACAGAGGCCAGGCTCCCCGTTCCCCTGCTCCCTGGAGGGCCCCAGCAGGGTTAATCTCAGCTGCCCACAGCAGCATCTTGCTCCATCACACATCCTGCATCAGCTTCCCTCCCTTCTCTGCCTTGCTTCCCTTTTCTCCTGCTATGTTTCCTGGGATTGCCTCCCAGATAAACAATTTGCATGCAAATCTCTGTCTCAGGCTTGGCTTTTGGGTAAATCCAAACTAAGACATCTCATGTTTGCATCGGGCAGCTGTCTCATTTGCTGGGAAATTCTCCTCTCCCTGCTCTGACCTACTCTGTCTCCCAGAGCTTGCTTCCTTGGTTACTGTTGATTGGGCCAGGACTGGCACTGACTCCAAACTGAGCTAATCGGGTATGCTTTCCTTCTGAGGTTCTGTCTCAGGCTTGGCTTTTGGGTAAATCCAAACTAAGACATCTCATGTTTGCATCGGGCAGCCATCTCATTTCCTGGGAAATTCTCCTCTCCCTGCTCTGACCTACTCTGGCTCCCCAGAGCTTGCTTCCTTGGTTAATGTTGATTGGGCCATGACTGGCACTGACTCCAAACTGAGCTAATCGGGTATGCTTTCCTTCTGAGGCGACTGGGCCCATGTGACCACCCAACCCACACAGATCTATGAAGAGACTTTCCTTGGGACTTGGACAGGGACACAGAGAGTCTGATGACAGAGGAGAGTGAGGCTCCAGATCGTTGGGTTTGAAAATGCTGCTGTGGGATAGTTATTCTGGTACAGTAAAGGAGACAGACGAGATAAGCAAGTGTGTGCCTAGAATGGAGCCCAGCGATACTGTTTTCTTTCCACATCACCCCCTTGCCTGAGCCTGTTCAATTTAGGTTTCTGCCACTTGTGACCAAAGATACTCTGTGTGACCTTGAGTTTGCTCTTCAACAGTGGCTGGGGCACAGCAGGTGTTTAATAAGTTTGTTGACTGACTTATACCGAACCCCACTTCTGTCATTCGTGCGTTGGTGTTGATAATAACTACTTTCTGGGGTTGCTGCATGGGTAAAATGAGAAAATGAGAGGGACAGGGCCAGGGCCAACTGGGTGTGCTGCTGTCATTGAAAACCACAGACTCCGTAGGTCACACAAAACGGAAATTTATATTCCCAGGTCTGGAGACTTGGAGGTCTGAGATCAAGGTGCCTGTAGTTGGTGAGGGTCTCTGCTCCCAAGGTGGAACCTGAACACTGAGTCCTATGGAGAGGAGGAACACGGTGCCCTCACATAGCAGAAGGGGCAAGGGTGAAAAAGGCCAAATGCCTCCACCAAGCCCTCTGATGATGGCAGGAATTCGTTCTCAGGATGTAGGCCCCTCTGGGAGGCTCCACCCCAGCACGGTTGCATTAATGATTAGATTTCCAGCCCCTGATGTGGGGAGCGCCTTCAGATCACAGAAAGGGCTTTGTCGAGTCTGAAGAGTCTGACCCGAGACAGTGAAGAGCTCTGTGCTGTACTGGTGGCTGGGGAGGAAGCCAGGGAGGGTGAGGCCTCCGGGGTGAGGATCTCCCGGCCCTTGCTGGTGCCTGCTGGCCACTACGGACTGTGTGAAGTTGACAGTGATGACAGCAGTGGAATTGGGTGACTGGCTTGGCAGACTTTTTTTCTTCTTCTAAAAATCGATAAGAAGGGCAGAGAAGGGAATTAGTGTTTATTGACTGCTCTGTGGCACGCACCAGGCCCAACTCCTTGTATACATCGGAGTCTAACCGGTGACCCAGAGGCCAGTGTTTTGTTTGGACTTCATGGTGCTAAAGAAACATTTCAATTAATTGCCAACATATTCAGATCTGGAGATTCCGTATGTTTTGGGAGATGCTTTTGAAAAATCAGAAGAGCTGGTAATGTCCTTCCCCTGTGTTGTACATAAGCCAGAGCTGACAAACAGCTGTGTCCTCCCAGGGGACTGTGGCACCCTAGTTTTCCACGGGTCCCTGCAGGCCCTTTGTGTGCTGCTGCTGTTTGCCTGACCCTTGTAGCCATGGGAATGGTAACCCTGGATACTCTGACCCTCCTGATGGCCCTGTGATGTGGGTACATTTAATCCCATTACAGAGATGGTAAGACTGAGGCTCAGAGCTGAAGTTATCTGCTCTAGGGCACACGGTTAGAGAATGATGGAGCTAGGATTGTCTCTCAGCTCTTTCTGACTCCCAAGCTCCTTCTCCAACCACAGCTTTTGGGCAGGGGCGGAGGGGGGCCAAGTTTTGTAGTGGTGAGTAAGAAGGGAGAGAGAGTCAGGAAGGCTGGCAGGGGGGGCAGGAGATGATAGGCGGTCTTTTGTAGTGGTGAGTAAGAAGGGAGAGAGAGTCAGGAAGGCTGGCAGGGGTGGCAGGACATGATGTAGCCGGTCTGAAGGACCCCTGGCTGTTCACTGCTAAGAACTTTATGTGCTGGGGCCGTCCTGTGGCCCAGGGACCAGGGAGAGATTAGCCCGGGAAGACCTGGGGGGCTGATGCTTTAGGAGATGACTTTGGGGGGCCAGAAGGGAGGCGGGTGGGATGGTGGGGGAGGCAGGCCAAGTAGAGGAGGTGACATCCAGGTTTGGGGTACTGGTTTTGGGGCCCGTGGGACCCGCGGGGCAAGGTCTGGGGGGAGCCGGCCAAGCAAGGCTGGAGTGGACTGGAAGCTCCCAATGGAGGTGACGATCTAGAGACCAGGCCGCCGTGCCCAGTGGGGGCGGAAGGTCCTGGCTGGGGCGTCTGTGCCAACCTTTGGCCTCAGCGTTTGGAGGAGGGTGGAGGGCTGCTCCCCTCTCCTCTCCCTGACCTCCCTCAAGGTAAGGAGAATCCTGCCCCTCCTCACCCAGCGGGCCTCCATCATCGGCTTCCCCTGGGATACGGGAGCGAAAGGGAAGAGAGTGAGGCGGGCAGGGGAGGAGGGCGAGAGAGCTGGTTATCACTTCCCCGGCTCCGAGTGGATAATTACACAGCTGTCTGAGCCCCAGGACGGGGCCAGGCGGCAATCCGTACAGACAGTCTCTCAAAATTAATGGGACTCCAAGGGGTTAGGGGTGTGGGGAGGGCCGAGGCTACGGGAGGCTGAAGAGAGATGGGCTAGACACAGGGAGACTGTCTGGCAGGAAGGGCCAAGAGGCAGGGTCTGAAACAGAGATAGAAAGAACGGGGAAGCTGAAGCCCAGAGAGGTTGAATCACCTGCTCAGAGCCGCACAGCAGCGAAGCTGCGGGTACTGTTATGTACCGACAGACCTCAGCTGCTTCGCATACAGCATTAATTCGAATTCTCACAGAATTCCATATCACGGTGCAGTCTGGGGGCTCAAAGGTTTGAAGTGACTTGCTCAGGGTCACCCACTGTATTCTGGCCAGAGATCTGACAGCAGGATGGGAGACGTTTTTAAGCTTGTTTCCCAGAAGTGGGACTTATTTATTGTAGGTGCAACCAGACTTCCAGGTCTCCCAGGGAAGACTCGCTGGCCTAACAGGCCTCTGGCAGCCTGGCACACGGGAGCCAGCAGACCGGGACTGGCTCCCATCCCTCTCTCAGGAGCTTCCTGGTCATCCCAGCCTGAGCGTGGTTCTCCTCTGCAGCCGCGCTCTGTCCTGTCCTCCGCAGACCCAGCGGGCTGCTCTGACCCTCTGTGTGGCAGTGGGTGGCTTTCAGCTTCTCCTGCTGGCCCCTGTGCCGCTGCTGCCAGGCTGGTGAGGGAGCGCCTGGTGGGTCACTCCTCCTCCAGTGGACTGGCTGCCCTGGGTCCCGAAGCTGTGACCTGGCCAGGCAGCACGTGCAGGGCGGTGTGACTCTGTGCCCCGTGCTGGGCTCCTTCTGCACACAGATTGCCAGGGTTTGAATCTTACGCCCTCCCTGTGTGGCCCTGGACAGGAAACGCCACTTCCGTGCTCTCACATTGTCCCTGGGGTGAATGATGGAGGGGTACTCATTCCACAGGAGCCATGCGTGTTGCTGCGTGAGCGAGCGTGTCTAGGCACCCTGCTCCTGCTGAGTGCTGTTACTGCTGTTGTGTCTGCTGAGCAGGGTCAGGGAGGACGCAGAGTGAGGGCCGTGTATGCCCCACCCAGCCGGCCCTGATGCTCATGCTCCTCACCTGTGTGTGGTCCCGGGAGACAGGTGCTGAGGGCCAGGTCCCAGGTGTGTGCGTGCCTGTGATGTGTGTGAGGGTGGTCGTGGGCACCTACACCATTTTACACAGGGGAAACTGTGGCTAAATAGGTTAAATAACTGTTTTTTCTGTACACGTTGGATTACTATGATTATTTCCTCCTTTCTACCTCAAGGCCTTTGCACTTGCTTTCTGTATCTGCAGTGCTCTCCCTTCAGATCTTCACGGGGCAGCAGATCAGTGCTCCTTGCTGCCTAGCAAACCACCCCCCAATCCAGCAGCTTACAATGACAAATGTTTATCATATCAACATTTCTGTGGGTCAGGAATTTGGGAGCAGCTCCAGGGCTGCATTACAACTTTTATAGGCCCTGGGAGCTTCTGCATTTGTTGGCCCCTTCTCTCTTAAAGGAATATGAAAAATGACATTTTATGATTGTGCTGGTATGAAAACAGATTAACTTGATATATGAAAACATTTTCTTTGACCTAAGAGTTGTTTCTTTATCCTAATTTGAAGAGAAGGGAAAAGGTTTTCATGGGTCCTAAAAGTACTGAGGGCCTTAGCATGGTAACTACCTTGTCCAGTGGCTAAATTAGTGTGAGTGGCCTGGTACTCTTGGCTTGGGTTCTCTCATGTGGCTGCAGGAAGGACGGTGGAGCAGGACAGACTGCAGCTATCGGAATGCTTGACTGAGGCTGGAGACTGCGCCCCATGTGGCCGTTGGTATGCGTGGCAAGTCTCCTGACGTAGTAGCTGGCTTCTTCTAGGAGTGGTCAAGGGAGGTGGGGAGAGACCATAAGCTCATAAGCCACTTATGTCCTGCATGGAAATCCCACACGGTCAACATATCATCACTTCTGCCTCATTCTTTTGATTAAGAGCAAGGCGCTAAGTACAGCCTGCACTTAAGTGATTTATGGGATGGCCAATTAGACAATTAGTTCACTGTTTGAAGGCAGTGGGCATATTTTAAAGAGTTGCGGAATATTTAAAAACTATCATGCCTACCTTCATCGCGACCTCCTCTGGTCAGCCAGTTTTGTCCGTTGCCACCCTGCCAATCCGCTCTGATACCACTCAATTTATCACTGTCTGGAGCTCCCTTATTCCTTGGTCCAACTGTCTGTTCCAGGAAGGTGATAAACTCTGCGAGAGGACCCTGTCTGTCTGTCTGTCCACTGCTCTTGCCCTGCTGTTTAGTGCAGAGCCTACATCCATGGGGGCCCCAGTAAGTGCCTGGTGAATCAATGTTTTAATGAGCACGGTGGCAGCGGGAGACCCGGTTGTCGTCTTAGGCAGGTGTGGAGCACATGCAGCGAGGCAGAGGCTGTGCGGGGATAGTTAGCTGTCCAGGGATGGTTCCCGCTGACTCAAGTGTGTGGGAAGAGGAGAGGAGGCCAGCAAAGGGTGTGCAGCCTGGACCTGATCAGAGGCCATGGGATCACTTTGCAATCAGGGACTTTTGGGTTATAGGGTCTAGTGGGGAGGCAGATGAAGGAACAGGTAAATAACAAACTATTATGCCAGTGGAACAGGTAAATAACAAACTATTATGCCAGATACATAATAATAATAGAAGCATATTTGGGACCCATTGGGCTGGATTCTCACACTGCTATTGCCCAAGGAAGCCTTAGTCTTTGGCTTGACAATTGACTGGACCTTGCTCACCTACTGGGGTGTTAGGGGACTGCATCAGTCCTGGGGTTACCTGCTCAGCTGTCCGCTCACCTGCCTGTGCTGCCCCACTCAGCCTCTAGGTGGGAGCAGAGACCCAGGCTTGGCCACAACTCCAGTCTCCTGTAGCCTCTGTCTTCAGAGCTGAAGGCTTTGCTCTACCTGCTACTACCAGCTCTGGGCTACAAGGTGGGGAGGAGGGGAACTCAGACCAGAGCATTAGGGTGTTCCAGTCTGTGTTTCTGCTCCTAAATTTTTCCCTGCACTCTGCCCTCAAACTTGGCAAGTCCTCCTGGAAGATGGGCGCAGAGGGGTGGGGACCAGGATTTGTCCAAGGGTAGAAGAAAGTTCACTGGGATGGGATGAGCTGGTAGGTGACTGTGTTTTTGATATGCAGTTCTCTGTAGCTACAGGAGGAGGGACAAGAGCAGTGAACACCAGATAGGAACCTGTCGTGGTGGCCAGGTGGGGTTAGGGTTTGAGAGGAGCCCGCTGGGCATGTAGGAAGACAGCAGATACCAGAGAGTCAGAGGACACGAGGTATTCTGGGAAGCAACTGGGCAAGCATGGTGGGGCAATGCCAGATGCCAGCCAGAAGCGCAGGCCACTGGTGTGGGGGCAGAGGGTGCAGGACACAGGGTCCATCCCAGATGAGCTTGGGTTTGAGGTCAAGATTCCCTTCCTGGGTAGTGGCATCAGGCAGGAGGAGGGTGGACCAATCCTAGATGGACTGGCTTGTTAGGAAGGGTGTCAGGGCTATGGATGAGGAACAGGGGCTGGAGACCCACAATGGGAACACACTGAGATGTAGACCTTGACTTGGACTCAGAAGGGCAGCTGGCCTGATATGCCTGCTGCATGTTCCTTCAAGCCCAGGTGTCCCAAAGGAGCTGTCATCAGATTTCTGGGAAGATGTGGGGAAACACCTCAGGTTTGGTTTGAGCTTGGCTTGACCAGTGTCCTATGCTTTCCCACCTGGTGGTGTCCCAGGGCCTTGCCACTCTTTCCGTCTGAAGCCCAGCAGCCTTGTCCCCCTGGCTGCAGGTCCTCTGCCAGGCTGGTGTAGAGCTAGAACCTGGCTGCATGACCACAGCTGGCCTTGTGCCCATAGACTGTAGTTGGGCTGGGCCTAGCAGAGTGCCAGGCTGCCTGCCAGGCCTGGGGAGGGAGCTGCTCCTGCTTCCAGCCTCCAAGCTCCTTCTGTTACAGAAAGGCTCAGAGCTGAGCCTGTATCAGGGTGTGGGCCCATGAGCCTTTCCTTTAGTATGTGGGCTGGAACCTGGTCCCGAGCATCTCCTTTAGCTCATTTCTACCTAGTACCTCTCTTCATGTCTCTATTTAAATGTCACTTCCTTGGAAGCAATTTTAATGCCCCCATTATTCTTGCTGAAAGTGCCCTTTGCTTTTTCCTGCAGTGCATTTATTACCACTTGTCATCGTACTGTGCATCTGTGTGTGTGCGTGTGTGTGTATATTTTAACATCTTGAACCCTTGAGTAGACTAGACTTCCCAGGTGGGGAGGAGCATGTCTGTTTTTACTCGTTAGTATATTCCCAGATGTTAGCCTCACACCTGGGACACTATGTGCTTCAAAAATATTTGTTGAATGAGAGAGAGAAGAAAAGATAGAAAGAATGAATAAATGAATTATGGATACCTCTGGGGACAACTCATGTTGGGAATTCACAAAGCTGGCGTCTCTGGATCATCAGTTTTACTTGATAGTAAGGAATTAGAAGTGTTATATTCACTTATTAATTGAAGATTTTACATTGCAAAAGCAATACAGTTTCCTTGTCAAAATTCAATCGATTGCCATTATTTTGAATATGGAAGCCAACCTTGACATGCCAAGGAGTAGAATGTGACTTCCGCCTAGTATTACAGAGAACACGGGAGGCCTCAAGACATCCGGAACATTAGAAGGGTGGTCAGTCGCCTGCCGCACAGCTCCTGCAGGCAATTAGGGCTCTCTGGAGGGAGTGTCTGTGACTCACTCTTTGTGGCCTGGCCATTGTGTTGCTCTTGGTGTGGTGACTGCTAAATACAGGGCTGACTGGATTGTCTTTGTCTCCGAGGAGATATCCAAAGGCCAGGCTTGTGGGCAGGGCTGGAGGAATGTAGAGAGGCACTGGGGGGCTGTATCTGGAAGGAAACTTCCTTGGGGGGGAAATTTCATGGATCTTTTTGGGAGATGGGGGTTTACCCCTGGGGAGGGGCTCCTCTAACAGGTTTGTCATTTCAGAGGGGCAGAGCTGGCTGCCCAGGGCCAGATGCTTCAGAGCTGCAGAGACCTGGGGTGGAGTGGGTGGGGTGCCACTGCATTGTGGGGGATGGGAAGCCATTCTGGAAGTCAGCCAGCCCCAGAGAATGACAGAGTTATGTGGAAAATGCACCCACAGAGTGGCATAGGAGAGGTGGACCCGGAGCCTCACATATCTGGGTTCGAATCTCAGCTCTGCCATTTTTAGTAATGTGACTTTGGTCAAATTTTTTCCCTGTCTCAGCCTAAATTTTGATCCTGGTCATCATCTTTAGGGGCCTGTGAGGCTATTCTGCTCTCTGCTCATTAGAATCACCAGGTAGTGTTTGAAACACCCTGATGTCTGGGCCTCAGCCAGAGCCAACTGAATCAATCTCTGGAGTCTAGGATGCTGTAAAAGCATCCCAGGAGGTTCTGCGTGTAGCAGAAGCCGTGACAGGTGATCTGACCAGAGCCTCGTGATTGGCTCCAGCTAAGGAAACGCACACGTTTCCCAATTAATCCTTCCCCAGGCTCTGTGCTCCATCAACAGGCTGCCTTTGTGCTTCTAAGTGGACTGCTCTTTTTCTGGGTCCTAGCTGTTAGGGACTGGGCTCCAGTGAGGTACACCCAGTGAAATGCAGCCGCTTTTGGTCCACAGACAGACATGGACCCACGGGGAGACAGGAACAGGGACCGACAAGCCAGGCCAGGGGTAAGGGACACCTGCACCTCTCTCCCCTCACCCCAGACAGAGTCAGAAAGACAAACTGACTTAGTGCTTAAAGAGCAGCATTGATGGCTCCTTGAGGGGAGGGGCTTGCTGAAATGCAGATTGTGGGGCTCCCGACCTTAGAGTTTCTGATCATTTGGTCTGGGATGGAGCTGAGAATGTGTATCTCTAGGAAGTTCCCAGCTGATGCTACTGGTCCCTGGGACTGCACTTGGAGAACCACTGACTCAGAGACCCAGAGGGAGGGCAGGCAGTGGGCAGAGAAACCCCGATAAATAGCATCCCTGTGCACACACACTCAGAGCCAGAAAGAGCTGGTCAGAGAGGACATAGGCAGCCGTGCAAACCCATGGATATGCTCTGGGCCAGAGGCAGCAAGGAGACAGAGACCCCCCCACCCCCACATAAATGGAGCCAGGAGTGACGGGGACCCCAAATGCAGATGTGGAGAGGATCCAATAAGGGACGGAGACAATGGCACCGTCCAAGTACCTCACAAAGGACAGAAATGGACTGAACCCCAAAAGACAAGCTGGCCACAGAAAGACAGAGAGGGATCAGCTGAGGGGAGAGAGGTAGGCTGGAATCCAGAGTGAGCAACCAGGAGCTGAAGGGAGGGAGGAAGACAGCTCCTGCCTGGGTATGCTGGCGTGTTGGCACCTGCTCGGTTGGTAAATATTCAGGAAATTTGCCTGCTGGTGATAAAATCCGGGATGGTTTCACATGGGCCCCAGTAGGAGTATTTCCTCCAGCCAGGTGGGTTGCCCAATGTGGTGATGGCTTTGTAAGCAATGGCTTCTCTTTTCTGGCCTGGGTTTGGCCCAAAGGAGACTTTGCTCTTCTTTACAAAGGCTGGGTCCTGTCACCTCCTTCCAGAAGTCTTCTTGACTGCTTCAGCCTGGGGCTCTTGTCTACTGTGAATTCTGTGCCTCCAGCATCTCAGTCTTTGGGAGGTACCTGATTGAACCCTAGGCCCCCTTTCCATTCTAAATAATCTGTTATACTCCCCTCTCCCGTCCTCTTTTGGATCATGATCCCTTATCCACAAACTTGAGATATATTCAAATGTACATGAAATATGAATTAAAAAGGATGAGACAAACAAGCAGAAGTTACAGTGTTCATATATCTTCCTCTGCTGGGAGACCTCTGCCCTAGTTTGGAAGCCTCTTGTCTCTTGTGTCCCAACCTGGACTTGCTTGATCGACCCTGGGAAGTTGCTCTTGATAACAGGGATAGAATGTTTACTCAGCATTCATTATGAGCTGGGCGTCATGCCAAGTGCTTTACATGAATTAACTCCTTTAACCCCCTTAGTACTCCTCAGAGGTGGGCACCACCATTATCTCTGCTTCACAGGCAGGGAGACTAAGGTGGTGAATAACTTGCTCATACCACACTGTGACGATCTGGTGTGTCTGGGATTCGAATCCTGGTCTGAGGGAAGTTCTGTCTCTGTGACTTGGCCCCTGAACCTGCGTCCTCCCAGAAGGTGAGGGCCAGGAGTGCTCTTTTTGCGTTATGCTGCTAAATATTTCCCGGGACCCTGCCAGGAGTCATAGCCACATTATCTCATTGACTTCTTCCTCCAGCGCTGTGGGTTGATATGATTAGCTTTAAAGACCTGTGGGGGGGCGGTGCCCTCCCCTGAGACCTGTCTGGGCCACTCTGGTGCCACCCTGGCTGTAAGCAGGTAGGTGAAATTTACCCTACAACGCATTGAAAGATGCATCAAGTCGCCCTACAAACTGGATTCTAGTTAAGTGCCTGAAAAGTAATTATAAACTCCAGAATATCTTTCAGCCGAGCAGGTGGCTGGAAAATTAGAAATCTATTTCTGAGACACCTTCTGCTTTCCAGAAAGGCTGAGGTTACGTTTCAGTCGAGGCGAGCACCGTGGCCTCCGCGGAGCTGTGCGCATGTGCATGCGCTCGCGTCCTCTCCGTGGCGCTCCGTGCAGCGCGGAGGCGGCAAAGCGCCTCCCCTGCGGTGTCACCCCCCCAGAGTCGGGTTGCTAGGACACGGAAGCCGAGGAGATGCCGGCTGATTTCCCAAACAATTTTTCCTCCAATTAGGAATAATTAGACAAAAGGAGAAAGTGCGCACTTCCATGGGGGCAGAGACGGGCTTGGAGCTCCGACTCCGTGGCGCTCCGTGCAGCGCGGAGGCGGCAAAGCGCCTCCCCTGCGGTGTCACCCCCCCAGAGTCGGGTTGCTAGGACACGGAAGCCGAGGAGATGCCGGCTGATTTCCCAAACAATTTTTCCTCCAATTAGGAATAATTAGACAAAAGGAGAAAGTGCGCACTTCCATGGGGGCAGAGACGGGCTTGGAGCTCCGAGGCCCCCAGGAGTCATTAGGGCTCCGTGGCTGAGACGCAGGAGTGTCGATCCGCCCCCCCGGGGGGGAGGGGAGAGCGTGCACGGTTATGAAGCATCTACGGTAGCACATGGCAGGCGTCCAGTTGCTGCCTTCCACCCACGACCCTCTTTCATGCTTCGAGGGGAGACCAGCTTGTCAAACGATGGTCCCTTCCCGCTCGCAGCCCCGCCGCGCTCCCTCCGTGCTTAAACCTGCCCCCCGCCCCGGGCTCTTCCTGCTCTTCCTGCTCTTCTCTGTGCTGCTGGTGCCTTCTCAGGCTGCAGGTGACAGCTTATTATCCCCGGCACCCCCCCTTCCCCGCCCTTTGCTGCTGTCCTTCGCGGTGCTGATGATGGCTCACAATTCTTGGGTGTATTCTCCTGTTTTCTTGTCTGTCTTCTTAACCAGAAGTCAGATTCCCGAGAACACGGGACAGTGTGTGTCCCTCGTGGCACACTTCCTAGGGCATGAAAGATTCTCAGTGTGTGCTTGTTGAATGAATAAGCGAATGAGATCTCTGTTTTATCTAAAGGAAGCCGAAGCTCAGCGGATCTAGGGTTCTGCCCCAAGGTCTGTGGTGAAGCGGCAGAGCCGAGTCTTGGTCCCACACTTTCACGCTGGTTTTCTTGCTATGACACCTGCTGCCTCTGGCTGGTGGCAGCTGTGGCCCCCACAGATCCCTCTCTCCCAAGGCCACAGGGTCTCCTGCCACCCTTAGATGTAGAAATTCCAAGTGATGGTGACGTGGTCGTGTAGCCTACTGGTTCCTGGAGTCAGCCTGCTGGGCAGCAGACTCTGTCTCTGCAAGGAGAAACAAACCATCCGTGGTCACCTGTTGTCCTACTGCATACCAAAGGCCTGCAATTCCACATGTGCGAGTGACCAGCTTTGTGACCTTGTCCGGGCCTCCCTATTCCCGCCTGTCACGTGGGGATGACCATGGAAACGATGTCATGAGGTTGTTATAAGGACGCAAGGAGAAGTACACGTGGAATATTTAGAATGGTGCCTCGCACTCAGGAAACACATCCTACAGTATAAATTATGGAAGAAGCAGGGATGGTGGACTGCTTTGATCCTTCCTACTTGGCACCCTTGACACATCAGAGGCCAGATCTTGCAGCCTTTTGGGTGCTTGGTATAAATGATTCATCCTGGCATCTGAGCCCTCCACTTCCTAACAGCTCCGCTCTTTGGAAGCTGTAGGAAGCTGACAGATGTGAAAGAGCCTAGTACAGTGTCTGGCATGTAGTAGGTGTTCAAGAAATGGTAGTTGAGCCACCTTGTGAGAACCAGGGCTGGGTGCCATAGATCCCTCAAGTGCAACAACAACAATAAAAAAATAACTGGCAAGTGGTGTTATGTGTCAGGCACTAAATTATTTATAGATCAGTATCATTCTGCACTTGGCAATGAGCTCCATGGATGTAGACTCATCTGTTGTATTTTTCAAGCACATAGTTGGCATTCAACATACATTTGTTGAATGAATTGATGACCTTATTTAATCTTCCCCAATAATTTTATAAGACAGAATTATTATCATCATTTTGTGAAAAACAAAAGGTGAAAAGGACCAGTTACCTGCTGGGGTTCACAAATTAGCACAGCAGAGTCAATGCCAAGGTCCCTGCGTTTAACTACTATTTTCTGTAGATCCCCCAACTTTGCTAGTTTAAAATTAGACTCTCCTCCCCCTCTGCTTCCGTTATTGGCTCTCAAAATGAAAAAGTGAGCAACAGAAACCAAATCCTGTGCCTCTGCTCTGCTCCGTGTCTCGATGGATGGTCCCTTTGCGAGACCCGGCTCCCACACTCGCCTCCCTCCGCCCAGCAGCAAGAGCTGTATTTCCAAAGGCCGGCATCAGATGATGTCTCTTCCCTGCTCCACTAGTTTCCCATCACCTTGGAATAATATCTACACCCATTAGCACGGTCTGCAGGTCCTATGTGATCTGGTCGCCGCCCTGCCCTCCAGCACCTCCCGATGCTTTCCTGTTTCCTCACCTCTCCATCTTCTGCAGCCAGGTGTCTGTCCTCGAGCCCAGCAAGGTCATTCTTACCTCAGGGGTTTTGCAACTGCAGTGCCTTTGGTACGTGGTAGATGACAGGTGACCACGGATGGTTTGTTCCGCCTCGCAGAGACAGAGTCTGTTGCCCTACTGCCTTGAATCTGGGCTGAACTATGGTTACTTGAAGCCAATGAAATATACTAGTAGTGATGCTTCAGACTGGCTTTTTCTGCTTCCTTCCTTGGGAGCTTGGTTGCCACCTTGGGAGGACGCCCAAGAGCCCAGTGGGGGGCTGGTTGATCCACCCAGGCAGACCTTGCGAGGGGCACTGTGGGAAGTCCATTTCCCGAGCCATCCTAACTGTTGTCAGATGAAGCGCAGGCGAGGTGTTCTCACTGAGCTCTGCCCAAACCGCAAAGTTAGGAGCAAATCAATGGCTGCTGTAAGCCACAGCCATTGAGGTGCCCTGTTACTCAGCAAAGATCCAACTGCATAGTCCCGGATGCCTCCTGCTTTGGCTACTGGGAGCTCACCTTCTAAGCCACCTCCTCTGGCTACCCCTTCCTGCAGCTGGCCACTCTATCACATCATCCTGTCTTACTGTCTTCACCGACTTCAGACTGTTTGAGATTGTCCTTTCTGCCTAATAATTTTCTATCTGTCTCTCCACTAGCACGAGAGCTCAGGGTAGAGAGCTCTGGCCTGCTCACTGTTTTCCCAGGGTCAGAGCACCACCTGCACATAGTGGGTCTTCAATCAGTTTTTGTTGAATTGGTCACTCGTGTGTCTGTGTTAGTTTTCTACCGGTGCAACAAATGAGCAAGATGTGGGTTAAAGTAATACCAAATTTGTTATTTTACAGCTCTGTATGCCACAGTCTAAGGTGGGCCAGCAGGCTGCATTCCTTTGGAGGGTCTAGGAAAGAATCTGTTTCCTTGCTAGCTTCTAGAAGTTTCTCACATCCCTCAGACTATGGCCCTGCGTCACTCTGACCCTGGCCCTCCTGCCTGTTGTGCGATTATGTTAGACCCACCCAGCAATCTGGGATAACCTTCCCATCTCAAAATCATTAACCTAGCCACATTTGCAGTCTCTTTTGCCTTATAAGGTAGTATTCACAAATTCCAGGAGTTAAAATTAACATGTGAACATCTTTGGGGAGCGGGCTGGTACTGTACCTGTAGCAGACCTGATGCCCACCTGTCTTTCTCAATGATTTATTTTCTCTACTACTTTCCTCCTTCTCACCCGACTGCCCACACGCTTGACCCCAGCCTGTAGAAATCAAGGTGTGCCTCCATGGGCCAACGGTTCACCTTTCCAATATCTTTGAACCACGAAATCTGGGAGTGATAAGAGGATTCTATGACTTTATAAAATTTAATATTCTGGTGTTCTGGTACACTGCATTGTTGCTAAATACCGAAACGTGGACAGTTCTGTTAGTGTATCAGTGTTATTTCAGTATTTAAAAAGACTCTGAACTGAAGATGTCTGAACTCTACCCAGAGAGTTAGAGGCTGCATTAGGATTTCCGATTGAAAAGGGTACTCATTTGAAAAGTGGGTTGAGTCCCTCCTGGTCCTCAGTGAGGCTGTTCCTGGGCTCTCACTGCTGTTTTACTCCCCATACCCTCTGTAAGAATGAAGAGTGGCTGAGCTTCTTTCCCGTGTTTGGGTCACTTGTATCTCCATCAGGGCCAGTTTGGGTCTTAGATGGGATCTGCCTAGGTTTGAGGAGCAGGGAGGACTTCATAGAAAATGCAATGAAGTTTTGGGAGGAGGACTTAGAAAAGGGAAACAAGATTTAGGGACTCGTCAGTCCCAATTCTCAGCCCTTCTTCAGTCTTTTCACCGATTTATTACCCAACCTTATATGTGCCAGGTACTGTACTGAAGACTTTAGAAATACTAATGAATTTACCCCTCTTAATAACTCCTTTCAAGGAGGTGCTACCATTATCCCTGCTTTATAGAAAAGGGCACACAGAGGGTAAAAAACTTTGTAATGTCACACAGCTAGTGAGGAGCAGCTCTGGGGTTGAACCCTGGTGGTTTGTCATCAGATACCATGAGTTTACAATTGTAAGATGTTGTACTTTGCCAACTGCTAAATTCCCTGTGATTGCCCCTTCTCTTCCTCCAGAGCCAGCTGCTTCCTCATGGGGCCTGTTCCCTACTTTTTGCTACTGTTTTGACCAGGAACTCCATCCCCCATCAGTTTACCTGGAGATATGTAAGCCAGGAGGGCAGAGAAAGCTCAGTTGTAGACCCAGGCCGTGTGTGGGTTCAGTGTTGATCAGAGCTCACTTTTAACAAAATATTAGCATTTTAATATCAGGTAAACTCATGACCAAACTACAGTACTGATTATTTCGCTCTAGAATTGCAGCCGCTGGGTCAGCACCAGAGCTTGAGTAATCACAAGACCATTTGGACAGTGAGCAGAGCACCATCTATTAGGAATTTCTGGTACCTGTGGAATAAACTGGGAAGAGATTGAGATGTCCACACAAAGCTGTTTTTGTAGCACGTAGAATGTAAAGAGGTCTCACTTCCGCTAAGGCAGTGCCACTCTCAAAGGGGACAGTGCACATCTTGGACGGATCTTGGACAGATGCCATCTTTTCCTTTGAGAAGTAGTGCTAGGAAGGGTGACTCTTTCACAGGTGAGGAAACTGAGGCTCGGGGAGGCTCAGCAACCATCCAAAGTCACATCTCACAAGAAGGAGAGTTGGTGCCTGTGTCCAGGGTTTGTGCTTTTTAAAATTAATTAATCAATTAATTAATTAATTTGTTACCCGGGATTGAATTCGGGTTCTTATGCTTGCGAGGCAGGCGGTGGAACCACTGAGCTAAATCCCGAGCCCAAAAATAGTTCCTTCTGGGATTTTTTTTTTGGGGGGTACCAGGGATCGAACTTGGGACCTTGCACTTGGGAGGAGGCAGTGGAACCACTGGGCTAAATCCCCGGTCCACAAAAAATGGAGTGCTTCACAAATTTGCGTGTCATCTTTGTGCAGGGGCCATGCCAGTCTTCTCTGGATTGTTCCAATCTTAGTATATGTGCTGCCTAAGTGAGCTTTGGTTGCTTTGCTGCCTCAGAAGAGAGGGCCGGCGTGGGTGGTGGTGGTAGGTTACTCCACAGTAAGGCTGCTGGCACTTCCTCTCCTCTGTCTCATGGCCAAGGTGGGGCCAAAGGACTTGCAGCAAACTCAGGTTTGCGGCCAATGAGAGCCTTTCTGTCTTAGGGGCACAAGCATCCCTACTGGGAGAAACGGGAGCGGGGGTGATGAGAGGCTTCATGAGACAGAAGGCATTGCGGGGATCTTTGACATGTGGCAGGCGACCTCTCCTTTTGGGACTGTCTGCACGTGAGGACGTTCATTCAGTAAGCGTTTCCTGAACCCCCATGCCAGACTCTGTGCTGGGTGCAGTGGACACTTCAGCGAGTAGTTGAGATGTTGCCTCTCCTCCTCTGCTCCACACCCAGAGAGGTTCTGGATGATGGAGATGTCCACGCTGCCTGACAGGCACCCAGGGCCCACAAGAGGCTCCTGAGCAGTGAAATGTGACTAGTATGACTGTAGAACTGAATTTTTTGTTTTATTTAATTTTAGGTGATTTAATTCAAAAAGCCACACGTGGCTAGTAGCTACTCTGTTGGACAGGGCAGGTTTAGGAGGAAAGACAGATGGTAGGCATAGAGGAATGCTCCTAGGGAGAAGTGCTTTGCAGGAAAAAAGTCACGCAGGTGAGAACGCGGGGAGTGTCCTAGTTAGACTGGGTAATCAGGGAAGGCTTCTCTGAGGAGGTGACATTGTAGCAGAGACCTGGAGGAAGAGTATAGGCCACAGCAAGAGTCAGGGGAAGAGCATCCCAGGCAGGGAGGCAGTGTGTGGAGAGGCCCTGACGTGAGGCAGGGATGGGTGTGTCCAAGACGGAGAGGACGTCAGTGAGCTAGCACAGGGAGGGCAGTGGTGAGTTCAGGGTGAGAGAGGAGCAGGAATCTGATCATGTAGGACTTACAGGCTTGGATAAGGAATCTGCATTTATTTAAAGTGCAACAAAAGCAGTGGAAAGGTCTACTCTGCCTGCTGTGAAGAAGATGGGCTGTCAGTGGTAACAACAGGAGTAAGGCAGTGAGGAGGATGATGGTAGCATGGAGTAGAACCGTGGCTTTGGAGATGAGAGAGAAGATTGGATTCAAGACAGACCTGGAAGCTGGGTGTGACGGCACATGCCTGTAATGCCAAGAGTCTGGGAGGCTGAGGCAGGAGGATCCCAAGTCTGAGCCCAGCCTGAGCATTTTGGTAACTCAGGAAGATCCTGTCTTAAAATGAAAAATAAGTAGAGCTGGGATGGAGTTCAGCACAAAGTCGTGGTTTCAAATCTCAGTAATGAAAAAAAAGAGACATATCTCAAAGGCAAATTTGGGTTACACCTGGATTGTTATAAGAGCCAAAATAACTATCATTTTGTTTAAGCCACAGTGTTTAGGGGACTATTTTCTTGCTTTTTTTTTTTTTTTTGAGATTATTTATTTATTTAGGTACCAGAACTCAGGTTCTTGCGCTTGTGAGGCAGGCGGCAGCACCACTGAGCTAAACCCCCAGCCATTTTTTAAAAAAAGTTTTAAATAAACTAACAATTATAAAAAAAAGAGACAAAAATGATAGGCTTTATAGATCGACTGGATGTGGAAGGCAGGCAAGACGGGGGCATCAAGCCTGATCGGAGTCCCTGGGATAATGAAGTGGTGGCATTATTTTTGGAGAAGAGAGAGAGGGAGGAGGACTCCAGGCTCGTGGATGGTTGTTGAAGTCTGAGGAAGGCTGGACGCTCATCTGAGCCTGCTGTGTCTCTGCGGACTGAGTCTGCGAGTACACGCGTGGGTGAGGGTGCGCAGTGCTTGTGGTGAACACACACTTCTGCTGTGGGATGAGCGTGTGTGCATGAGTGTGTACAGTTTGGATGAGTGTGCGAAGTGTACCCGTCCTTGTAGCCGTGGACAGGATGGTGTGTGCACATCTGGGGAGGTCTCTTCGTCGTGCCTGAGGGTCTGTCTCAGATCCAGGGTGAGCCTGGGGCTGTGTGTAGATGATGAGATATATGTACAAGCATATGTGTGTGTGTAGCATGACTATGTGTGCAAATCTCCATCTGTGGAGTGTAGATTCACACACAAGGGTGATTTGCATGTGTCTGCGCATCTCCTCTGTGACGCTTGAGTGTGTGTTCAGGGTCTGTGTTTGATACCTGCTCGGGGGACTGTGTGCGCAGGTCTGAGTGTGTCCATCCACAGGGAGAGTCCATGTATGTATATGCAGAGGTGTGAAAGGAGGGTGTTCCAGAGATGGGTGTGTTGGGGTAAGTGCCTATCTGTGTGCAGTGAACGTGCCTGCCTGTGCACTTTGCGGCTCCCGCGCCCACAAGTCTTAGAGACAGCAACTTGCAGAGCGTGTTATGACATGTTTATAGGTGTCTCAACCTTAGCATTTTAAATTTCCAACCCAAGGCAATCCCAAAAGATTACAGGGCCATTTGTTTCTGGCTCTGCTTTAAAAAGAAAGTTTCCAGTGGAAGGCCTTTTCTTCCTCTAACCTGGCAGTGCCACCTGATTCTTCAGGCTGCAGAAGGCAGAAGGATACAGATGTGGGGTCTGCAGCAGTTTGTGGGGGGTGGGGACACTGAAAGTGAGCTCGGAGAGGGGCCTTTGACTGTGGAGAAGGAGTGGGGGGTGATGGGAATGATAAGGTGAGAAAACTCCAAACACTGTCCTCACTAGGCAGGCCCAGGACACAGAGGCCCTGTCCCTGGCACACCCTGTTCCGTTCCTGTCTGCCTGAGGCTTTGCACATGGTCCTCTGCTTCTCACACCACACACACTTGTGATTTGTCTCCTAGGTGCTCCAGGCAACTCCTGACACACTAAATCCCCTTCCAGACTGTTCTGGGGACCCCGAGGAGCCCTCTGGTGTGCCTTTGACAACCATAAGCATCTACCATTTCTCTCCTGCTCCCCTCCAGGTGCTGTGATGATGTGTCCTATCCCCACCAAAGCCCAAAGTGCCAGCTGTGCCCACTAGGCAGAAGGACACATGCCTTGCTTGTCAGTGCCGAGGGTCCGAGGGGCTGCTGCTGTCTTTCCTGCTTGCGTGGATCCGTGGAGGTAGGAGAGAAACAGCAACTCAGATACAAGCGTGGGTCTTTGGAGGACCTTTGCACTAGGTCTCAGGCGAGGCTGCGGGGGTTGTGCTGGAGCACTGAGTGACACAACAGAGCCATGTTTCACCCTCCCTGGCCTGGTCTTTGGACCTTGCTCCGTGTCTCACTTTTTCTTTCCCACATAATGGTGCTAAGGGGCTGCTTTTGTTCTGGTGGCTGATCTCACCCCTCCTGTCAATGGACTGGACTCCCAGGGTACCCACAAATTGGGCCCTGGCATGGACTCTACCTCTTCTGATAGCACCCATCTGGTGCTCTCACTCTAGCCACTGGGGTCTTGTTTGAAGAGCTATTTACAGTACTATGTGTAGCCTTGAATGGAGTGGATTGAGCCTGGGGCAGGAGCTGTGGCTTGGGTCTGGAGGCTTGGGGGTGTTTTCTCTCTTTTGACTGTTGTTTAGGCATTCACTTGAAGTACTCTCTACTCACCCAAAGGGTTAAGCCTCTAGTCTGGGTGTCCTGGACATCTTGTTTCCTGGGCTTTCCAGGCCAAACTCATTATGTCACTCAAGCTTATCTCATAGGAATTACATTTACACACCTAGCAGGGTAAAAGGGTAGGAAAATCCCCAACGAGGAGCTATGGATGCTCTTTCTGAAAGCTGTAGGCACTTAAAGGCCAAGTTGGTGATCTTCTTTTCCTTTTTAAGAAAATAGCTTTATTGTTTTGGTAAAAATACTGTGTCTAATTACCACAGAGTGGCAAGATATCTTAATGACTATGGGCATGGACTCTGGAGCCTGCTGTGGCTCTCATCTTGGCTGTTGGACTGTGGCTGAGCCCTCTGACTTCTGTGCACCTTAGAGGATTCCCATCCTCTATGGTGGAGAAGATGAAAATATTTATTTCTCAGGGTGGTTATGAGAATAAGATAACATAGCACATGTAAAGGTTTTACAACAATCCCCAGCACATAATAGGCACAATACAGAGGTCATCGTCATTACGATTGCTAAACATTTAAAAACATTTTTATTAGTACAATTGCTAAATATTTTAATGATGCAGCAATAAGCAAAATTCACATCAAAGGCAACAACTCATGGAACCTTCTTTCAGACATCTCTTTTTGGGTTGAAGCACACATAGTTTTATATAAATGTGATTTATAATATATATGATATCTATCATATCATAGATATCATATCTATCTATATATCAGATACTTTTTCGTCACGTAAGCATATGTCTTGGATATTTTTCTCTATCAGTCTACATAGATGTACTTCAGTCATTAGTATTACAATTTACTGACCTAATCTATCACTGACTTGTGGGTGAAAAGTCTCTTTCTCACTGTGATAAACAACAGTATGGGCATATGTTGTGCATATGTCTTTCTGCATTTGTGCTTTCTTCTTGGGTTAAAGTCTCGAACTGGGAATGCTGGGTCAAACAGTATGCGTATTTAAGCTCTGATACATATGGCTGAACTGCCCTTTGGAAAGTTGTACTAATTCACACTCTGTCCTCTAGCAATGATGTCTTTTTTTGAGCCTTTTTCATCTTGATTCTGGGCCTCTCCTTGAGCCCACCCTGTGCCCTGACATGAGGCCACCTGAACGCAGAAGGGAGCTGGGTGAACACATTTTATTTCCTTTAATCAATCCATGAGAACATGAGCTGCCACTAAGGGCATTTCTGAGTGTGGCCATAGCAATGTGTGATGCAGTTGCTATGGCTCTTTCTGAAGCAGAAAGGGTGAACCACAAAGCATGAAGAGGCCTGTTGAAAAGTGACTTTCATTAATGCTAAGCATTGTTCTCTCCAGCCTGTAGGTTGAAGTAGCCGGGTTGATTTTACCAGGTATTGCATGCAGGCAGAGGCTGTAAGAGACAGATTGCCCTTTTCAAAGACGATGGCCACAGCGCTAGTTTCCATTCCCCATGCTGGTCGCCCTGGCACCTTGCTATGTCCCATCAAGAAGTGGAATGTGATTCTCCTCCTCTTCAGTTTGGGAGAGCTTGTGATCACTTTGACCAATAGAATTTTTCTTAGTTCCCAATCTGCACCTTTGGGAGCAAAATGAAATTGTGGTTGTTTTACTCTACTAAGTTTTGGGGAACATTTAGCCACCACTTTTGGGAAAGATAGTGAGGTGCACACATTTTCAATCTTAGGGTACCTAAGAATAAACTGAGGCTCTCATTAATGATTGACTGTTGAGATAATGATTAATTATTAACTATTGACTACCATCCCAGAATTATGGACTGAGAATCTTAACTAGGGTGTCTTCTCTGCCTTTTGACATTAAACAGGAAATGTTGTGTTGCCATATCTTTAACTAGAAATGGAATCCATCGTTTCAATAACCTTCTTAAAGGGTCTTTTATCCAAAGAAAGTTGAGCATGCTTGGGAGAAAGTTTCTGCTGTTTGATCTGGCTCCAGCCTCAGGAGCCTTTTTTCTTCCAGCTAGAGCTTTTGGTTATACTCGATGGGTTGGCTTTCATCCCAGAGCATGGAATGATTTAAGCCCTCCCAGGTACACTCCCCGGGACACAGTGAAAATATAAGATAGTTGGAGCAGCATGTACCAAGGTCTGGAAGTGGGACTGAGCCGGAGTTGATAGGAAGGAGTAAGCTGATATTAAGAGACAGATGCTTTGAGATCTGATCACAAATTAGAATGCCAGGCTAAGGAGTCAGGACTGAGGAAACAGGGAGCTAAGGCAAACTTCCTGGCAGAAAAGTGTCAGGTCACCACTGTGATTCAACAAGATGCCTCTGTGACGGTGCTTAGGGCAGAATGTGGCCTGGCAGTTAAAACAAAGGAAGAACTAACTCTGTATTTAGGTTCAGGCTCAGTGCAAGGATGAGCAGAGATATTCCTCCTGGGAGTTCTGAAAGAGCTAGCCCCAGCATACTGCTCCTGTTCACTAGGTATTCGTGGCTGATGGAAGAGTGAGGGGTCCATTTGTTTTGTTTTTTGAGAAGAGTCTCACCAAGTGAGAGAGAGCCTGGCCTCAAACTTGTGATCCTCCTGCCTAGGACACCTGGGATTATAGGCATGTGCCACCCACCTAGGGATCTGTTTTTTTAAGCTAGGGTGTTAAGGTCTTGGTGATTTTTATGGTTTGTATCTAGATGTCCCCCTAAAGCCTCAAGCACTCTTTTGGGAGTGACTGAATCATGGGTGTGTGATATCAGATCATGGGTGTGTGATACTGGATTAGTCCACTGATTAGTTTAGCATATATAGTTCTGGATGTGGATGATGGATTTACCTACTTTGGGTGTGGGTGGCACCAACCAATAGGCTTGTAGCCTGGATAGGATAAAAAGGGAAGGAAGGAAGGCCCTGCTGCTTCCTGCCTGCCGTGCCATGGATGGTTTCTTCTCTGTCATGCCTCTCTGCCGTGTCACCCTGACTTGGAACCAGCCAATTATGTACTAAAACCTCTACAAACAGTGAGGTAAAAATAAACCTTTCCTCCTTTAACTTGTGGTTATCTGGAATTTTGTTTTGGCAGTGAGAAAGTAGTTAAGACAGTGATGGTGTTTCAGAGGGAAAAATTAAATTTCTGGCACATCTTTGGGTGGGCCACTCCACCTCTTTGGCCTCCATTAGTAAATGAGAAGTTAGGAGACCTGGTAGGTTCGTGATGGTGCTGGTCAAGTCCTGCTATCACAGGATAAAGGTGACAAGCATATATTGACTTCTGGTCCATCACTTCATTGAGCTCGTTTCTGAGGTGGAATCTAGGTTCGGGAGGAAGGAAGTATACTAGATTAGCAATGTTTACCTGTGTTGATGGGTCAGGGGCAAGTAGCTCGTCTTATCACACCTAGATGGAAATCTCATGTGCACACAGCATGGCTTTAGCCTCTCATTTTATTTTTCAATTTTTAAATTAATAACGAATTCATTCATTTTGAAATCATGTTACTGACATAACTGTGGATTGAGACTGTTAAAAACACACATGCAAGGGCCGGGGATTAAGCTCAGTGGTTCTGCCGCCTGCCTCGTGAGTTCAAGGATCTGAGTTTGATCCCCAGTACCAAACCAAACCAAACCAAACAAAAAACTGTGCAGAGGAGTCCAGTTTTTTATTTCTGTTCCCTTCCCCTTGTCATGTTTTTCCTCCCCAAGGTAATCATTTCTATTTATGCTTGGTTTGTCTTCTTATTGTTTCTTTTCAAAATTACAAAATGCACTGTTATCTTCTCTAAGCTGTTTTAGAACAATAAAAGTGCCAAAATATGACTTACTTTTTCTTACTCAGATTTCTTTCTTTGCAATAATACTTTCATGGTAGTGTAATGTGTATTTTGAAAAGCACACAGCTCTTCAGTGTTTTGCTCTGTAGATTGAAAATTCGGAAACTCTGAGTGACTGTATCCGTCTAATCACTCCTCAGATTAAGAACAAGAACACTGCCAAGTCGCCACAAGTGCTCCTCACACGTAATGGGTTTATCAGATGTTTGGGCACCTTTTGTGAAGTGCCTGTTTAAGTCTTTGGCTTATTTTTCAATTGTAGTGTCTGTCCTTTTACAGTAGGTGTGCAGAGCTTGTTTATGTATTTTGCTTGTTGAATCTAAGGCTGGTTATAAATATTGCAGCTGTCTCCTATTCTGTGGTGTTTTGTTGAGGAAATCTGCACCCCAAAGTCATGAAGAGATTGACCTATGCTTACCATCTAGAAGTTTTATTGTTTTGTCTTTAACATGTAGGATACATGGAATTGATTTTTTTTTTTTTTTTTTAAAGACAGGGTCTCACTTTGTAATTCAGGCTGGTCTCACTATGTAGCCCAGGCTGGCCTTGAACTCATGGCGATCCCTTTGCTTCAGGCTCCTGAGGGCTGGGATTGCAGGTGTGCACCACCACACCCGATGTGAAATTAATTTTTATACATGGTGAGGCAGGGGGGTCTAAATCCGATTTTTTTCTCCCTGTTTGGGTATCCCTCAGATCCAGTACTACTTAATGGAAA